TCCACTTCCTAATCTTTCTGTTATAACTGTATTTTTAATTGCTTTACCTAATGATTTTGGTGTTTAACTTGGGTTTAAATATAAAGGAAGGCAAGATATTTTTATTTGATTCGTGACTGGAAAGTTAGGTACCCGTCATTTCCGATTAGTGATATATTTTTATTCGATTAATGCTTAAAATAACTAATATTTTTTTAATATAAATTTATAAAAGTGCATAATTTATGCTCTGCTTTCTTTTAAGCAAATATACTCCTTGCCTGACAAGCAGTAAGCAATTCATTAAGTACGATTCATGAAATACATGTATGAAATCACAGTCCCATCACTTTCTTTCTTAGTCGGGCACTCTTGTCAGAGTGGTTGTGGTTGCGCTGACGAGGCACACGGTGGCGTGTTCGATGTCATCTCCGAGGGTAGCTCTCATAGCTATGTGCTTCCATTTCGGAAGTTTGAAGGTTAGAGGCGTCGCGAGTACACTGGACCATGGTCGACTCAGTAGCCTTTGTAATGGCGTCTATCCAGCGGGTTGGCGACCAACCGCGTGCTCTCTTTCCTTCCACCTGGCTCTGAACTACCAGTCTCTCCATCGACTTCTCATTTCTAGTGACGTGAACAATGAACACTGCAACTGCTCTAAATCCAGGATATATAGCTTAATTGAAACCTAACCAGGGTAAGTTGAGTGGTGAGGTAGTCCCAGGAGATAGCTAACTGTCCTAGAACCTGCAACATATTTTATTAAATGAAAATTTTAGGCCTAGCAACTGTACTTAATGTGAACCAAATCTGAAACAAACAAATCTTTTCCGCATTTGAAGAAGTTCTTCGTATTGAGAGGAGGTGTCCAATTCTGCATTGCATTGCAATGTTTACGCACCTACAGGTAATGCTACTTATCTGTATTTTGCCATATTCATTCTCAAATCCACACTTCTGGATAACGTCCAACTTTGCTTCTCTCCTTCCGACCTTACGCAAGTAGTTATCGAATACCAAATCTCCGACAATCACTGCACCTGCGTCATTCGACAATTTATTCAACAAAACCCAAACCAGTGTTATAAATATATTATTCCCTTTAAATTGTAAAACCTGTCGTTCGTACAAACAACGCCATTATACTTGCATTGCGGAATTCATTTACGCAGCAAAGTTTTTTATTTTGACCATTTTCATCCGCAAACGCTTATTATTTGTCAAAAGCGACTGTATTGGTAAAGTTTTTGTTTTTATTAACATGTTTTTATGAATTGTAATTATTTATAAGAACAAGTTTGTAGGTAAAATGGTGTTATAACACGTGCGTACACTACATATCTATGTTAATATTGCGTCTCTTCAATGATTTGCGACAATGTCAGCATTAACTATTTCAAGTAGGTACCTATAGGTGTCATTTTGTATTCAGGGGACTAAAATTCAGCAAGACTGTGTATATCTCTCTCTATACGTGGTATTTTATCCTAATTGGAAAAGCAGTCTATGCCGTGCAACATTATAAAAGTTGGCATCAATTGTGATTTCTTTATGAGCCTTCCGCAATTTTATGTTCATTCATGAAACATAATGGATTGAGTCTATGTAACCTACCGATCAATTTGCCGTCGGTGGTCCGTCCAAAATCATCAAGCTGCCAAACCAAATGACTGTAATTGCTCCGCGGCTGGGAAAAAGATTGCGATCCGGTTATTACCAGTTTACCCACCAGACGCGTTATGAGGAATTTTGGACATGACTGGGCCGAACCGAATTTAGGTCCATAATTGGGACTGGGCCAGTTAACCCGCATTGACCCCTTTTGCTGTCTCGGCCGCAGTTCAGTAATAGTAAAAGGCGTTAGTTACCAAATATTGTAGACGCGATTTTAATAGGCATTAGTCATTAGGAAAACCATGCAGATAGAATCTTAGAATCATTTATCACATTAGTATTGACACAACCTTATTGTAATAATAAAACCTACGATCTACTTGTGAACTCTCAATAAAAACTAATGCCGCAAATATTTGCAAATTCTTCATTAAAAAAAAGATAAATATCACATCAAAAAGACTATGCCGGAAATTGGCGTCTTTTTTTTTTCGCGCGGCCATCGACCTAACCTTGTTTTTTGATTACAAAATAGGGTAATAAACCAAACTTACTATGACATGTATACCTCTAAACTCAGTCTGAACTGAGTTACGAGCATATTAGAAGTTTGATGATTTTCATACTAGATTTGCTTTTTCCGCGCAAGTTTTATAAGAAATTGCAACAAAATAGTGATATTGTATGTGTAAACAAACAATACCATCCATTAAAGGCTCCAGACATCAGTATGCAGCAGAATCAGCGCAATAAAAAAATAGCGCAATATTTTGTTACAATTTCTTACAAAACTTGCGCGCAAAAAGCAAATCTAGTATGAAAATCATCAAACTTCTAATGCTCGTAACTCAGTTCAGACTGAGTTTAGAGGTATACATGCCATAGTAAGTTTGGTTTATTACACTATTTTGTAATAAAAAAATAAAGTTTGGTCGATGGCCGCGCGAAAAAAAAAAGACGCCACCTTTCATACAAAATCTGGCATTGCCATTAGTAGGTAGTTTTCACATTAATTGTATGTAATGCAGTACTATTAGTACTCGTAGTTTCAGATAAAATTTATCCTCCAGAAGTCAATAAGTACGCCAATATTTTAATACCCTTGTTATTACCAATTAGGGAAAGAGTCTAGACCTTGTCGTATACATTATTAAGGTAAAAGCTATAAACTCGTACCTATAGGAAATATTTTATCGTTTGGGGTCAAAAACGCGTTTTCTTGGGGCCAAAAACCTCATTTCGGTAATTTTTAACTCCATTTATGGAATTCTGCCGGCGAGTCGTTCTTAAAAAATATTCGTTGAGGACTTTTAAGACCCCCTAACGGGTCTTCATTTATTCATTTTGCATCATGACAAATAAATAATACCAAATTACCCTATCTGAAACCNATCAAAAGACTATGCCGGAAATTGGCGTCTTTTTTTTTTCGCGCGGCCATCGACCTAACCTTGTTTTTTGATTACAAAATAGGGTAATAAACCAAACTTACTATGACATGTATACCTCTAAACTCAGTCTGAACTGAGTTACGAGCATATTAGAAGTTTGATGATTTTCATACTAGATTTGCTTTTTCCGCGCAAGTTTTATAAGAAATTGCAACAAAATAGTGATATTGTATGTGTAAACAAACAATACCATCCATTAAAGGCTCCAGACATCAGTATGCAGCAGAATCAGCGCAATAAAAAAATAGCGCAATATTTTGTTACAATTTCTTACAAAACTTGCGCGCAAAAAGCAAATCTAGTATGAAAATCATCAAACTTCTAATGCTCGTAACTCAGTTCAGACTGAGTTTAGAGGTATACATGCCATAGTAAGTTTGGTTTATTACACTATTTTGTAATAAAAAAATAAAGTTTGGTCGATGGCCGCGCGAAAAAAAAAAGACGCCACCTTTCATACAAAATCTGGCATTGCCATTAGTAGGTAGTTTTCACATTAATTGTATGTAATGCAGTACTATTAGTACTCGTAGTTTCAGATAAAATTTATCCTCCAGAAGTCAATAAGTACGCCAATATTTTAATACCCTTGTTATTACCAATTAGGGAAAGAGTCTAGACCTTGTCGTATACATTATTAAGGTAAAAGCTATAAACTCGTACCTATAGGAAATATTTTATCGTTTGGGGTCAAAAACGCGTTTTCTTGGGGCCAAAAACCTCATTTCGGTAATTTTTAACTCCATTTATGGAATTCTGCCGGCGAGTCGTTCTTAAAAAATATTCGTTGAGGACTTTTAAGACCCCCTAACGGGTCTTCATTTATTCATTTTGCATCATGACAAATAAATAATACCAAATTACCCTATCTGAAACCAAGCAGGATTAGTAAACTAATAGTAAAGGTGAGTATAGACTCAAGCACTTACTTGTAACAGAACAATGAGTCGCTCTATGAAATTTCTAGTGTTTCACCCTGTCACGAACCAAACGTCATACATTTTACCTGTACTGTACCTGTACCATTCGCAAAAACGTTACATTACATAGAAATGTTTTAGTCTATACTCACCTTTAGGCCCAGAACAGACGGTGAAACGCAACTGCAAGGAAACTGCAACTGCTAGTTACTTTTGAGTTGCATCTAAGTTTCTGTCATAGCGTCCGTTGAGAGAACACACATGACGCGACCAGTTTGAAACTTTCAGTTTTAGTTTCATTCATCAGAATCATCAGAAAGTTGCAGTTTCGTTGCAGTTGCGTTTCACCGTGTGTTCTGTGCCTTAGTCTTACATTTTACCTGTGTTGTACCATTCACAAGAACGTTACATCTATGTATACTCACCTCTAATCAAATCAGAATCTCATTTTAATTCGATCGTAAATATGGAGGTTAATTGTATTTGCTGAGCGAATGTAATGTGAAGTAACGTTCACTAATGAAATAAAAGGCAATTATGTAAAGACAGGTTATTGGAAGTTAATTACTTCACTATTTTGTTAAAAAATTAAACCTAGTACAGTTATGAAACTGTATGAAAGAATTTGGTAGTTTATTATTGTCAGTTGTTTTTATTAACTGTTTTTAACTAGACACTGTATCGATAGAACAATGTCCTGTGGATTCAGAATTTTTTACTTTTATTATTATCTAAGACAGAAGATATTTAACTTATTTTTTTATAAAGCGGTTATTACGAGTATTTTACAAATTGTATGTACTTGCATTTAGCACTACCATTTTACCAAACTATCGTATCAATAAATCAGTGAAAACTCGTTGGCTTGTGTAAGACTTATTTTTTAATGCTACTTGTATTATTATAAGCTGTATGTTTTCCTAATAAGGAAAATAAAAATAAATCAATATAATTAACAAGAAATGAATAGACGATTACCCTCGTAAAATTTAGGTGATGCCAATTTTTTTAATCAATTTATATTTCCTCTTTTCAGAAACTACGCTACCCGCGATCAGTTGCGTTTATAGTCACAAATGAGTTCTGCGAAAGGTTTTCATACTATGGAATGCGAAGTAAGTCCTTAATAAATCTTTAATTAGTACAATTAATATTGAGATATAGATGACCCACACTGAACTGTCCTACCAAACTCATTGACAGGGGGGCGCCACCATCGTTCTACTATTTAATTTCCAACATGGCAAAAATCGGAACCAGCGATCCGGTATTGACGGTGGCGCCCCCCTGTCAACGTCAAGCGTGGGATAGTTCAATGTATTGGGTCTATATGAGTTCGCTTGCACACTCACTGCGGGCGCCCGTCGCATAGTCGCGACAGCAATATAATTACGCGCGAGCGATAAGGATGGGTAGCTTGGGGTCATTGGACAAAATTCTACGTGCTCACGGACCAGGCTTTAGATACAAAAGCCCAACGGTGAAGGTGTAGGACTGGCCAACTCGTAATCCGAAGAGCGCGGGTTCGAACCCCGCTGCCACTGGACTATTATGGTGAAACCACATTTAACACAAGCTTGATAACCTAAATGGTTATGTAATAGTCTCGTAAACCCCTCGTGGTAACCAGTACATACTAATATTGTTATAAAAATACCTATATGATGAAATCATTTATCATCAGTGTACCTACCATGAGTTTACGTTAGGTGTGCTCGCTAGCGAAAACGTCAAAAATCTCTATAGAGATTTTGTTTCTTGAAAGTAGCCGCTAGGGGCGCTGCACAATATATCATACAATTAATGACATTTTTTTACGCAGTCGCTAGCGAGCACACGTAACTTAAACTCATGGTAAGCACACAGAACTTCTATAAGTTAAGGAAAAAGGTATAATTATGATGACATTCTTCAAATATTTTACTGTCAGGTGTAACGACAACTGATTATGTAAATACATAGTTATTTAATCACTAGTGTAAGACACTATACAACTACCTAGTTTATTTATGTATCATAACTGTATCTGTCCTCCTCGTGGCGTACATGATTGTTTTACACCTACTTAATAATGTGCTATGAACAATTTTAATATTATAAGTGATCATTACGGGTGCATATAGGGTTGCCAGGCGTCCGGCTTTAGCCGGACATGTTTGGCTTTTTAGGGACTTGTCCGGCCAAATATTGCCTTGTCCGGCCTGTCCGGCTTTTGTTAGGCTTTTTATTTGGTTGCCGTGCCAAGCGAAAGTCGAGGACCTGGCAACCCTAGGTGCATAATACATTCTAAGATATTATGATCTACCATAATACGTAACTTCTAAGATATACCAGTTTAATCATAAATAATAGTAAACAATCACTTCAAACTAGAAAAAGTCCCACTTCAGGACAATAATGAATCAGTTTTCTGAATCAACATCACAACAAATCATTGTTCAATTTCATTTGTAACTACAACTACAAATAGCTAAACAAAAGGCAATAAATAACCTGACATAACAAGACAAATGAACAATCACTATCGACTCTAACACCAAGAAATAAGAGGTAATTGCTTTTGCAATAAGTCCTAGTACTTCATGTTGTCACGCATTTTCTGACCCACTTTAACGAATAGGTTTTCAGTTATCAGTGAATGAAATTGTGTCGCGGTTTCGCCATCGATAATAAGCACTTCTATTTCAATGCCATATACCTAGATCAATAGAATTATCTTTTTTAAAGAAACCTCAAAGAATCTTTGTTCTGAAGTTGGCCCTAAATTCACAAATGGGTCCAGTTTTTTCATCCGTATTATTTTAACTTGAGGCAAGGTTCAAATTGGTTAACTACAGAAGGGCTAGTTTTTGCCCTTATAGTGTGTCTATTCGGGTGATCGAATGCGGAACCTGTAATTAACACGTTGAGNCAATAAATGCATTAATATTAATATTCAAAGAAAAAAAACATAATATATATTAACATGAAGCCAAAAATAAAATTAATATATCTTAAACATTACAAGGTCTTTAAGCCTTGTGCCGCCACAATGTAAGTTTTAATACCAGGTTTACCGACCTTGTACCGAAGGAATGGAAAGTATTAGAAAGTTATGCCGCAGCAAAGGTGTTAAAAGATTCAAACTCTCTGACCAAAACCAATCACACTGATGAAAATTATCGAATGCTCTCATTAGTCGATTTTATGTAACATAATTATGAGCTATTACACTTTCTTCTAGCTTTATGAAGATAATTATCGAGTTAGTTAAACAACTACGAGTATTAACTATTTATATCCGCCGCGATAAAACTTACCTAATCAATGTTTAAACGTCTCAGGAGTTAAGCAACTAAAACTTTATTGTCAAAGGACCAAGTTTACTTAAAGTAGTTAACTTGCGAGTGCTTTTCAATTTCCCATAAAGTCCATCCGTCATACTTTTGTAGTTTCATCGTATTCAAAGCAAATACATCATAATATGTAATGTAATAATATGATAGAAGGAGACAAGAGGAAGATGTGTTTGGAATGATCGTCTAATAATTTCATAATTTTCACACCTCCTCTCCTCTCAGCTTCGATGAAAATGGATCGGAGTGTAGAGCAGCCTATTTCTCCTTAGTTGTGGAATCGCTTTGGTGGAAACCAGACCTAAAAAACTTTTCACATGGACAGTTCGGTTCCAAGTTACTATTCGGCTTTACCTTATTTGTCAGAAGATAAGCCAGTTTCTTTTGGCGTAGGCTAGGTACGATTATACATATTATTGATTTCCAGCAATCCTATCTCTGTACCTGCGAGACAAGCTGGGCTTCACGGCGAATGGCGCCACAGTCATCTACCACACGTTCACTATGTTCGCCTACTTCTTCCCCCTCATCGGGGCCATGATCGCCGATGGATGGTTGGGACGATTCAGGTACATACGTACTTATTTGTTCTTCTAACAGGATACATACATAAGATAATGACAATGGATCTATTCTTTCCTGTAAAGACAGACAGTAGGTAGTAATTTATTTTTATTTGATAGAGTTATAATCATACTTATTAGTCATTTATTCCATAAACAATATCGAGTATTGATTGGTAATCTTTTTTTTGTATTGTATAATTTCAGAACGATCCTGTACCTCTCCTTGGTGTACGCGGCGGGCAGCGTGCTGATCTCTCTTGCAGCCATGCCTCCGGTCAGCTTACCTCAAATGTGCGTAATAACACGCTTTTGTTACTGAGTTAATTTTGTATGCTAACCTAAAGTTAAATCTTCAAAGTTGAGCTCAGAATTCATGTTGTTATAAAGCTGGTCCTAAGAGTTAGAAGCGAGCTACGTACTTAATATACTTTAATACGTACTGATGTAAGGCCTTAACTTTCACATAAGGGACTATCCCACCCCTCGTTCTCACCGCTGCAAATCCTGTGTAGCCACGATCTACAGCTTGACTGTCAATAAAAAACTAAGCAATGAAGGTCAAGTTCGTTAATCGTTCGTCAATTAATCAGAAAAACATAGGAGCAGTTCGAAGTTGACTTTCACGTGTCATTTCAGGGAGTTCACAATGTTGGCGCTGCTGCTCATCGCCTTCGGGACAGGAGGCATCAAGCCCTGCGTGTCTGCATTCGGCGGGGACCAGTTCAAGCTGCCCGAACAGGCGAAGTACTTGGGCTACTTCTTCTCGCTGTTCTACTTCGCGATCAACGCTGGAAGCCTCATATCCACCTTCATCACCCCGATCTTCAGGGCAGACGTCCACTGCTTCGGGGAAAGTGATTGCTTTTCACTCGCGTTCGGTGTCCCGGGCATTTTGATGATTATATCAATTCGTAAGTAGTATCACATTCCGACGTTGTAGATCTTTCAGCTAAAGGTTTTTGCACTTATGTATCGAAGACAAAATACTCAGGTACTGTCAACCTTTACCGATAAAATCGTTTTATTTCGAATGTAATAGTTGCTCACTCGTGTAATAATAAAGTGCAGGTAGATAAGATATGAAGTGCCACATTAAGGCTAAATATTTAAGCTCAAGTTATTAACGACTTCTAATGACTGTTTCTAATTAATCCATACAATTCGCTGGTCACAACAAAACCTCAACAAGAAGTTTTTTACAGTGTTCTTCTTGGCTGGCAAACGGCTCTACATTATCAAGAGTCCAGCGGGAAATGTTTTGGGAAGAGTTTCTTCTTGCATTGGAGTAAGTATTTTTTAATAAGTACATTAATGAAACCTCGATCACAATATTTGAATCGATAACAGCTTTAATTAATATCATATTAAAAATATTATTTTACTCGTATAGTTTCACTACATCTGTGCCCAACATCATACCTGTGCCTCTTGAAATTGTTACATTACAGATCTAATTGATTCAATAAATACGGATACAATCGTTACTGTCTTGTACATGTATAGGCGATAGTAACGGGACTATTCCCACATCTCGTTCTCACAACTGCAACTCCTGTGTAGCCAGGATCTACAGCTTGACCGCCATGAAAACCCAACCAATGAAGGTCAGTTTGTCCCGGGGAAAGTTAAACTGTCATTGGACCCGCAACGAAATTTATCAGAAGAACATAGGAGGAGTTCAAAATTAAGGCGATAGTACCAAGCTTAACATTATAGAATCATACGAGTACGTACTTAATTATTACAAGTAATTTGCTATAAAACTGTGTAGTCTGATATGCTGTCGACTATACATAACTTGTGCATGTGGCGAAGCGATAGCGATCTCGAATCTTACAAGAGGCACTGAGTTGACACGCTAACTTGTCCAATTACTATAACGTTTTTATTGTGGTAAGAGTTGTAAAAAACAGCTCAGAGTTCGTTTAAAATGCTCATGTTACCAAAACCGACTTCGGATTTGCGATTACGAGTATATTTACTATCAAATTATCTTCTGTATTAAAATTGCAATGATAACAAATATATGTCCGAGAGCACAATAATTTCTCTAAGACACGAAAATTGTATTTGCGGTTCAAATATACTCACTCGTACTTGCATATTTACATAATAACTTGGTTCACACAAAGCGTCTTTTTTCCACTTCCTTCCTCCAACTTCCACAAACAAGTTATTAATTTATACTGTGTTAAACAGTCCTTTTGATATCGTAGTAGGACCTACATTCCATTCATATTTTTGAACTAGCTCAAATTCGGACGATTGTGATACGAGTTCTTTTATTCACATCAAAGAAGCTCTTAGCCTGCAACTGACCGTGGAAAGTGATGATCAGGTCGAAGGTGGAAGCGAGCATCATTCGGTATCCTCAAGATAGACAGAGGATATTTGTATTTTTGTTTATTTTGTGTCAAATAAAGATTTTTCTATTCTATTCTAACTGGTTATCTTAATACGAACTGCCGGAACACAACAATGCTGTTTTTGTTTTGTTTAGTTGGTTATCAGACATTTAGCATGTCCTGGGCCTAGAGAGGTCAGACCACATCTTACTTATCTGTATGAGTCTGTATGTCTTAGGGCAGAATGATTTTAGGTCGAGTCAACTAATCAAACTATATGAATTTATTGTTCTATTGTCTCTATTTGTAAGAGGAGGTCATTAAGAAAATTTCAATTAAAGAATCAATCCCATGACATATTACTTACACGTGCGTGATGATATTAATTAAAAATATGAGCAAATTCCAACGAGGCATTGCCTTTAATTTGACTTACCTACTTGACAATGTCCTATATGTCCCCTATGTAGATGGGGTAGAAGGCGTCCACAACAGTCCTCCATCGCGTTGGGTCTTTTAAATTAGTTGACCCGTTCGAAATATAATACATAAGGTTACTTACCGTTTGTACTTACATTTATTTCTGAAACGCCGTGTGTCAGGCCACGCGTGAAATAAAAAAAATAAAGATAGACCTTTATCCAGTGTCTCATATAATTAATAATTCCAGCATGCCATGGTCAAGTCGTTCAAGAGCAAAGAGAAGAGAGAACACTGGCTGGACCACGCCGACGACAAGTACGACAAGTCCCTGATTGATGACGTCAAGTCTCTACTGCGTGTCTTGGTGCTTTACATTCCCTTGCCAGTTTTCTGGGCCCTTTTCGACCAACAAGTGAGTATTGTGACGTATCTTCAAACAAAATTATAATACCTTGGAAAGTAAGCAACTTTCCCTTTATGAGATGGCGTGACGTAACTTTGTGGTGTACTAAAAGAACGGTACATTATGTACACGCTGTACTGCAGGCTGTATAAAATTGGAAATATATTTGGAGTTTTCAAGGGAAGTTTTTTGGTACTTTGATTTATGAAAGGAGAGTCAAAATCGTGAAATTAATTATGATGCTCCGTACAAAATCATTAGAGGCGTTTGTTGTTGCGTTGGCGTTGTTTACTGTACCTTCTTATGTTCCGTAACAAATTACATAAATAACTACATACCCCCATAATGTTTAGAGGAGACAGTAAAGTCTTATAAGTTTTACTTAATTACCTTTGATATCTTGATTTGATAGATTGTCTGTTGGTATCATAATAAGTAGGTAATAAAAAAGTTAATAATTTATTATAATCTTGCCAGGGCTCGAGATGGACGTTCCAAGCCGCCAGGATGCGCCAGGACATCGGCAGCTGGACGCTGAAGCCCGACCAGATGCAAGTCTTGAACCCGCTGCTCATCTTAGTGTTCATCCCTATATTCGAAGTGGTAAGTGCACAAGAAGATATAGCTCGTTGCTATAAACGAAACGGCCATAAATCCAAATTGTCCAAAATCACTAAACTTTTAATAGTGGTTTTTGGGATATCTTTACGAAAAAGTTGAAATAAACAAGAGGTAGAAAATTAAAATACGCATCTAACGATTAACCCAAAAACAAAGTAGGAGAGAGAGGATATGAATGAACAACATAAAATCAAATTCTCATTTTCAACGCGCTCTCCTGAATAAAACTTAATTTTGATTTGTGCCTTTTGTAATCGTAGTGGAAATCCTTTTTAAGCATCCGACGTCTTTTGGTTGGAACGAAGTACAGTCGACAGTACTACCAATTTTGGAAGCTAATTCGCTCAAATTACAGCTTCATAACACCCCACAGCGTTTACATTGACGTGCCATCGTCTGTACCTGCACTAAAGCAGTGTATGAAGCATGTCAGACGATGCATTTTGTTGTAAAGTGTAGGAAGTTCTAAGACTTAGTTTGCATGTATGTGTGTATTATGTCTAAAGGAAACTCAAGAACTTATAACTAAGTATTACTTACGTACCTACCTCATTACCTACTTTCAGCTTGACTCGGGTTTATAGGCCAAGGCTGTCTTAATCTTACAGACAATGTTTACTCCTAAAGGAGTCAGAAATTACAAACTACAAAAGCTCTTAAACTTAAAAAACCTGTAATTTGTAGCTCTCTGTGTAGCATAATAATTTGAGAGCCATAGCTACAAAAAAGATTTGAAAACAAAATCAAATCAATAATCTTTATTGTAATTATTTTATCTTTATGTAATTTACAATACTTAATTAAGTAATAAGTTTTTTCTAAGTTTTAAACGTAGAAAATAAGGTGATTTTTTAATTTCAGGCAATCTACCCATTCTTAACTTGGTGCAGGCTCGTGAGGAAACCTCTGCATAAAATGATTTGGGGCGGAATCCTCGCTGCCGCTGCTTTTGTCATTTCCGGGATCGTTGAGATTAAACTTTTGGTAAATCCTACGACCATGATGATAAGACATTAATTTTCCTTCTAAAAGCTCTGTGTTGATTCTTACTAAAAATTAACTTCGTAAGCAACCCATTAATTCGAAAATTTTAATTCCAGCCAAGCTATGGTACGCCAGTATCGGCCGGTTTGGCACAACTGAGGGTGTACAATGGTTATAACTGTGATTTCGTGCTCGACTTGCCCAGTTTTAACCAAACCAATGTCACCATTGGACCTCTATCTGCTTACGAAAAACTCGACATTGGAGCTGACAAGTTTTTGGACCTGCCCTATGATATACAAGGCCAGCCTGGCACCGAATGCGCTAACTTATATCTCAGCGGCCAATTTCACCTGAAAGAAGAAACAGCTAATTCCTTCTTCATTAAGCGAGGAGGAATCAATAACTTCACTGACAACAACGATAAAGCTTTAGATGGTGTTAGTGTCAGGTAAGACACATTAAAGTTCTTCATGTGGCTCTTTTGAACAGTGAATTTTGGAGTAGAACGATGTGTAAATATTATTCCAAAATGCAAACGTGTCCTTTTCTGTTTTGGTGTCAACCAGTTTTGTAACATTTCCAAAAAGCAAGATATAACTTTGTTCTTGTGTTATGGGTTTCCACACTGTATGTCCTGGTTGGGGATTAGGCGTAGGTTTGCCAGTCTTTACGAAATTCGCCCACAACTCTGTGATATATTTAATGAATATTCTGTCGCGATTTTCTGTTTCGTTGTGTATTTTTACGTAATTTTCCCAAAATGGTTCACATTTCAAAATGTAGCACAATTCGTCGCCATTTGAGGCTCCTTTGACATTGACCTTAGCTCCAGTCATAGATGTGGCTCTGACTGCATTAAAAGCTCCAACATAGTTAAACTTATATACAAAAGTTTCTGTTTTAGAAATTTTCAGATGCTCTTGTATAAATTTCAATACAGGATATTTCTTTAAATCTGTAGTATATTGTAGAAAATCATCAATGGACTTTTCATTAATACTATTATTGAAGTAATGACTTTTTATTATACTGGCAACTCGGTTGTAAGTATCAGACGTGAAATTAAACACGCATCCATCTGAGAAAGGGATCATGAATTTAAAAAAGGATGAAAAATAGTTCAAATAATGTGAATTATGTAAAAACGGTATTACTTCCGATATACTTTCACGGCTATTGAACCCAACTAAAATTGGCTTGTTTATTCGTCTCTTAACACTTTTAAAAAATTCTTCTGGCCTTATCGTTAGCAAAGAGTTATTTGATTGTTTTTCAATAATGGGAGTAAAAGGCACAATGGGTTTTTGGAAATTAATAATTTCTTTACTGCTGTATATTTTTTGTGAAGCAGAGATTATGTCTTTACTGGAAGCGTTTCTCAAGTCTTGAATACCCATTTTTCTAATGTTTCTTTTAAATGTCTCCCTTTCCATTTGGTAATCACTTTGAAATATCGAAGGAGAAAATATTGACCCACTCTGCAATATCATCTTTGAAAACATATTTCTGTGTTTTGTCATTAGCAGTAATGACAAGAACGTCGCTCCCGAGTCGCTTCCCATTAATGTAATTTTATTTTTATCTCCCCCAAAATGCTTAATATTTTTTCTTATCCATTTCAACGCCATTACTATATCTTTTAATCCCATATTAACATCCGGTTCACTCTCATCAACCTTTAAGAATCCAAACACTCCTATTCTGTGGGTGACAGTTATAAAAACGATGTCTTGCTCTATCAAAAAGTCGGCTCCGTATATGTGGCTTATACTAGATGTAAATGCATATCCATGAACATACACCAATACAGCTTTAAGTGGCTGTGTACTTGAATCTCTTGGCAACATAGGTGTATAAATATTCAAATGAAGACAATCTTCATATCCGTACAATCCATGTTTATGTACAATATGTGATTGAGCACAGGCTCCGTGATATTCAACAGTTGCATCAAATGGATGCTTCCATTTTCTGGGAGGCTTCGGATCCTTGAACCTCAGTTTCCCCACAGGAGGCTTGGCGTAAGGAACCCCGTAGAAAACATAATAAGAACGCCCATCAAAAACTGTCTCCGATCTTTTACCGATTATTTTGCCCTGTTTTAATTTCACTTGAAACGTTTGGGAATTCACTTGCGTCACAAACAAAAAAATAATACAATAACTCTTTAAAAACATCACTCATTTTTAACAAGACTAACATGCAAATGCAGAATACTTTCAAAGAAATAATGAAGTGAATTCATATGTAACTTGTTTTTCTAAATCGTAATTGAAATTTGTTTTCATTTCCAGATTTTTATCAAACCTGAACAGCGTAACGCAGATAAACTTAATCGACTCGCAGAAGAATAGAACAAAATTAAATATAACGAGCAGTAATAGCACGCAGATATCCATTGAAAAGGGAACTTATGATGTTGTTATTAACAGCCAAATAGTAATAAACGCCTTCAAATTCCTTGACGGTGCCGTGTATACTATTAACGTTTATGAAGACAGTAATGGGTCTTATGTAAGTATCTCAATAATCCCTTTATACTAGTTAATACATAAATATAATTAAACCCTGGGATGCACCAGGGGACATGACGTGCACCGCAAATCTATGCCTACCACTCAACGCCATTCTTATTACATTTTCCAACGCATTTAGATATTGCTGCCTAACATGTTGAGAACACTTGCCGCATCATAACTATCACTATTCAGATAGTTGTGATTCACGTGGACATGCATGATTTCATGTGACTTTTATTTGCCCACAAGATTAACGCTTATACATATAAACTGAAAAAATTAAGCAGAATCGTCATCATAAATCCTTATTTATGCTGCCTTCAGCACAAAGTATTACGCAACACAATAGCATCGTTTCCAGGCATATACAACAAACATAGTGAGTCTCGACTTTCCTAAATCGCTGTCGGTATTTTTCACGGTATTTTATCATTTGATCGAATAACGTTCGGTCTAATTTCACCACGCCTAACTAAATGGCCGATATAATTATTTGGTCGAATAGCGTTTGTTATTAATCTCTTTCCAATTGGAATCCGATATAGGTGATAATATGTTCTGCAGATTCATTGTAAATCTTCACTTTTTTGCCAATTAATATTAGCTTAATACATATTCAATTAGTATTTTTAGTTTATTAATTTTCCCGGATTAGTATCGAAATTCTTCAGTTATATTACGTTAAACGTATTACAATATTTTTATTAACACAGTGAAAAGTCACGAGTACAATCACCGAATTTTATTGTGAAACGACATCCGCAGTAATATGTGGATGTCGTTTCACAATAAAATTCAGTTCCATTTGCGGTTTTCGAATGGCAAATGGAGATGAGTTTTGAATATCCGCTCGTTAAATTTAATCTAACATTCATTCAATAGTATTGACTGTGTCATAATAATCTTAATACTCGTAAAGCTTATTGCTACACGTAACCAAATTCAAATATGCACATAATTCAAGTACGAGTATGTAGGTGCATCAAATATGTGCAGACTGAACTGACCGCGCATCTTTTACGCATACTTTTCCACGCACGAATTAAAAATCCTTATCTCCTCAGGACGCCAACGCCGTCATGATAACACCAGAGAACTCAGTCCACATCCTGTGGCTGGTGCCACAGTACGTGGTGATGACCATGGGCGAGGTGATGTTCTCGGTCACAGGCCTGGAGTTCTCCTTCACGCAGGCGCCTGCCAGCATGAAGTCGGTGCTGCAGTCTGTGTGGCTGCTCACCGTGGCCTTCGGGAACCTCATCGTGGTGCTGATTGTCGAAGGAAACTTTTTGGACGCGCAGGTAATTATTTAAATATTCGACCAGACCGACGACTTATCAAGTTGGCATTGTTGTAATTTGAGATGTTATGGATACTTATGGGAATAATATTATACCGGTTTCGGTTATGCTTATGGATATTTTTTTTATTTCGGATATCCGAAAGCTACGGTTACGGATATCTGTGCTTTAGAATGCAATTTGCAATAGTTGTCCAACACGGTTTATTTATGGCCGCACACTTTACATCGAATAAAAAGTAATAAAAAAATAAAAATTGATACTGGATGGCATTATAAAGGTAGGTAAATCAGGCTGTTATGCCTTTACATTTATAATGCTATACAAAAATCAATTTAAAATGCCTACATCGGAAACTATCCGAAACTACTGAATCGGTTACGGTTTCGGAATTTTTTTATTTCGGATATCCGAAAGTTTCGGTTACGGTTACGGATATCCATAACATCCGTGGTTGTAATAATAAGTACTATTTATTTTTCATCCAAAATGTACTTAGTCTGATGTGCTGGTCGACTCTACATTATTGATGAACATTAATTCCTTTTGCGTCTGTAAAAATACATGTCTGTTTTATTCCATAACAAAAGACTTGACATTTATTTTATTGTTATTTTACCATAATCATCATTATATTATTCTTTTTGCATTGTTTTTTTTTTTCATTTGTGTGTTTCGATTGTGTGCGTTTGTTTCGATTCATTTTATATGATCACCCCTTTGTTTCAGTGGAAGGAATTCTTCCTATTCGCCGGCCTGATGTTGATCGATATGTTCATATTCACCGCCATGGCCTTCCGATACAAGTACGTCAAGCTGCAGTCCAGCACCGAAGCCCTACCTCAAGTCGAAGAGATCAAAATGCCAGAGAAACCTAGCCAAGATTAGATGCCTATTTTAATTAAATAATTTACTAATAGTTTTCAATTGTTTCATTTTTTTCTCATATTGACACACTAGTATTTTAGTAAAGAAGTGTTTAATTGTATTTGTTTCAAAAGCGCCCATCTATTTAATTACTACGCTACGACAACGAGTACAGTACATGAATTGAGGTGTTTTTAGAAAAAAAGTAAATCATTCCTAGGGTTCTATATTGGCTCACATAAAATTCTAAATCCTATTCTTTGTCTTACTACCGATTTGTGTTCATAATAATCTCTCTTCATAATTTTATTTTTCATACTTTTTTTATTCATACATTTTTATTACTACCATCGGAGCTCATAACAGTTAGTAATCATAATTTTTTTATCAATACTGTTACTACCAAGAACGATTTAAAATACATAATTTTTATTTTCAGATCTTTTTTCTTCATAACATTCATTGATCATATTGTTTTAATTTATAATGTTGTTACTAAGAACATACTTCAACTCATAATGTTGTTTTTCAGAATAATTTACTTTATAACGCAGCGGGCGAGGGCTGCCCTCCCTCCGCGCCTCCGGCTTTTAAATTACACTCTAGGGGTAGGGCAGACAAGACTACGTGGAGTCGGTTTTGCAGCGATTCGTTTCTGTCACGTTAGTTTTGTGGCACAAAATATTGCCTGTTTTGGACCATTTCAAATTAATTAAACGTTAAAATACGATTTAATACGAATATAGACATCATGATTTTCAATAATATGGATAAATACACTTATGAGTAATAAATTTATGAAAACAAATATTAGGATACATCACATTTATGAATATTATAGTTATTTATTCGAATGATTATGAGTTTCGATCATTAGTATAGAAAAATATATGAAAACAAATATTAGTAAAAACTAAGTGTATGATTAGTGATATTATGAATATCAATGATTATGTTTTTAAATATGTAGGTTTTAAATTTTTTATGAAGAATGATCATTATGGTATCAAATTGTATGAGAAATATTTTCGGACCTCCAATGATAGGAATTGAAAAGTTATGTAAGAAAATGCGCTACCCATTCCTAGACGTATAGATGATTGCCATACGATACCCTACCTGGGGTAGCTAGTAGTAAGAAGAAATACTGATAACAAAAATGCTGAAACGCCATCTACAAAATCGAAGGTTAAACTATCTACGAGTATGTACTTATTTTACGCCCGTATTCACAAACATTACTCACAGTGCGCGTGGACGCACAGGGTGACACACGAACCAATAGAGCTGTATTCAACGCTGTGCGTTCGATTTCCTGCTTCACTTAAGCAAGTATCGTTTGTGAATACGGGTGTTGGTGTCTAGAGAAGCACACAGAAAGTAACATACTATAAATAAAGCCAACTTTAATCCAAAAGATCGAATATTCCTAGTTATTTATCAAGTTAATCTCTACAAAGGAGTACAGATACACTTTTCTCAAAGAGATTTGAAAGTGTGCTGCTGACAGCTCTATCGATTTCCTTTCACGAAGTCTCGCAAACGGTGTGTCAAAGCTGTATCTTAGAAGGTATGTTTAGTCGCTATTTTAGGGGCGTTTGAGTAGTTCTTGATCTTTATAGGCTTACCTATTTGATTTGGACTGGGTAAAATAGGGAAAAGTCCCGTTTTAGTACGTTACTCAAATACAAATATTTACCTAAATTGTAATTGATTATCTTGTTCTCTTCATTCTATTTTATTGATGCTACAAGCTACATACATACTCGTGCTCGTATGAAAATCGTATAAACAAAACTTATTAAGGTTAAAGTAACTTAAAAGCCTAAGCATTGATAAGCTAGAAACTAAAAATAAACGACTCTAGGATCAAAATAATATTTTGATCATGGGCGTACACCAGTGTTGGTGTTTCTATAGAAGTTAATACATTATCAAGTCAAAAACAAGGTTGAATTTTCCTTAAAGAGGCTTTAAATGAGCTCCCGACTTTTCCCATTTCCTCTCGTTGAACTCACAGTCGTCGGAAAACAGAATTGAACTTCAAAAAATCTTTGTTCTTTGTTCCTATTTGTGGACTACTTTGTGCACAGACTAAAAATAGCGAGAAACTACACAGATTTAGAATGGGTATTAAATTCGCTTTTCATTTTACTACGGCCGTATACTGACCTAACGTAAGCATTCAGTGTTTATGTATACCTACTTTACAGTACTGTGCTTTTGTTTAATTAAAATGAAACGTAAACATTGGTGACAAACGTTATTGAAATGTGTTTATAGTGAGAAAATTTTAACAATCAGTATCCTAGGCTAAGAGCATTATCTACTAAATGCATGCATAATATCTATATCTAAATAATTTAATAAAAAAATCCTGTTTCTTCAAAAGAATCTTATTAGACCAAAATACAAGACAAGAGCTTTCCCGTTGTGGATAAAAAACTGTACCATTTTCAGAAGGGAGTTTATTATACCTAAAGTAATTATATCTTTTTCTAAACCTTTTATCGATGTCGTGATCTACGCTGTGGGTATCGATTTTACAGTCATTTCTTATGTATTTAATTCGTCATTGTCTCTTATATTATACCGACTTGGAATTTTCGATCCAACTTAACATATTCTGGCAGATTTGGAAATGTGTGTCCTGTCCCCCGCCCGAGTCCCCGCGGCTGTACCGATCTGCTCAAAGTGGAACTTTAGCTGTGTCTCACTCGGACTCGAAGGCCGACTTGTTTGAGTAGTTCTTGGTCTTTATAGGCATACACTAGGTACCTACTATAGAATTAAATGAAGAGAAAAGAATTGTTTCGAGATCTTGTTCTTTATAAGGAGGCTAGCCTACTAATTTTGTAGTCCTGTGACTAGACAGTTTCTAATCAAAGTCTGGGCGCGTCATTACAATTTTACAATTTCCTGAAAAAATGCATGTGCACACAAAATTTTAATTACTTGTACCTACTTGTATTTATTTGTAAATTGTAATGAGAGATGAAACAGTGTGCGGCGGACACATATTATAAACGGGTAAAATTGATAATTAAGCTGCTTAAATAATTCATTATTAAACTGGTTCAATCTCTCCAGTCTAGATTAACTTTTATCTCATTTAAATTGTTATTATTTCAAAACCGCATTCATGGTTGATATAACGTGTTATTCAAAGGAATAAATTAATGACTATGACTATGACCAAAAATAACTGGTAAGGTAACTCATATGACCTTCATGTAATGTAGGTTTTTACACAAATTATAAACATAAAAAGTAACATAAAAGAAAACGCAAGTCATGCTAAAAACGGCAAAAACAAAACTCACACACATCACCGCAGTTCAAATATTGACCGATCCAATACAAATCACAGTAAAGAGTGGCTCTTACATCAATCTGTTTAGTTAAATGGCGTGAACACATTAGACAATTGGTTTCGGGTAATTTGTGTGTAGTTCCCATAGTCGCAGGCGCAGCCGGGCGGCGCGGCGCGGTTAACCCTCCATGTTGCCGATTGGGGTCGAAATGGCGGCGGTTGTCAAACTTTTGAAGACATTTTTTCTATTAAGCGAAAAGCATAAGCCTACCTACTGCAAGAAATGCTTACAAATAGTATGGATTTTTTTTAATGGGTAGCCTATATACCGGCTTAATAAAAAATTTTAGGCCTATATAACTGCGATTTTGTATTGCTAATAGTATTAATGCATTATGAATATTTAGACACTACCTTATGTCAATTTGACTTAATATTAACTACCTACGTTTTCGTTGTGTTCCAATTGGTTATTGATGGAGCAGAAGCAACGCGTTTCTTTCTTGTCTACTCTACAAGGCCTATAGATTTAATTAAAAATTTTATAACTTTATAAAAATCCTTTAAAATAGTTAGGTATCTAGCATTAGCATTTAACGTGAGTTTTGAAATGTTTGACATAAAAATAATACAAATACAACACCAAAAACATTTGAGAACCGCACGCGTGCAAGTGAAGTGCTGTGCCTGCGGACGACTTGTTAATAATTGCGTATAATAAATGCTTAAACACAACAAACAGACAGACAAATACGGGCGGGGGTCGCTCAGGGGATGATTTAGTTTCCACTCTATTGAGTCCAGAACGTACTGTATGTAGGTACCTACTTCAAACAATCGCCGCAGTACATCTTTTTATAGTCTAGATAGGCAGAGATCAAATATCTTGTGATAATATAATCTTTTGTGTTTTTTTAAATTAGGGCTATGATTGTGATGGGATTAGTCTGTTATCTATAGGCGGTAGATTTGCCTACATAGGAAATAAACGATGAGCAAAATATAGTTTTATTTCATTAGTTATAATAATAATATTATAAAGAGGTAAAGTTTGTGTGTTTGTATTTATGTATTTGTTAAATTGTAAGGGGTAATCTCGGGATCTACTAAACCGATTTTGAAAATTCTTTCACCAATAGAAAGCCACATTATTGCTGAGTGTCATAGGTTACCTATATAAAAACCCGAAAAGAACCGAAAAGTTATAAAAATATCTGTACATATTTAAAATCTACCTAGGTACTCGTATGTACTCGTAGATATGAAAAAAGTATGGCTGATATTCGTATGTTAATTTGGTCTTTTCGGGTTCGGGTGCGATTACAGGGCTGTCTTATTTTATTATTTGAAAAACATTTACTGTGAGAATTGTTAACTACCTAGGTACTCAAACTGCTCACTCATTTACTTATGATTCATTTTCAGGTTCAAAGGATTTATAATCTGTACCAAATATCTTTTAAATCAGAGTGCGTCAAAAACACAAACAGTTTCATCACAAATACGTTCCCGTTCAAAGTAAACAACTTCCAAAGTTAATAGTTTCCAATTTCACCAATTTGACCTAAACGCCGAACAAGATTGCAGGGCTACGACATTCACAATAACAGCGATTAACCAGTGTGACGGATTAATTAAGTGCAGTCAGAAAAACATTCTTGCAAGGGGCGTCACGCGCAGGGCACTTTTGACGACGCGTGCGCGCGTGCACCGCACGCGGCCTTTACAAAGCACTGAACCCC